CGTATTTTATTGGAAATCTTGTCGTGTATAAGGTTTCTATGTAGTCCTCTTCTGTTGTTGTATATGGAACTTTGAGGATGCAAGACACCAGTAAGGGTGTAAGTGGCAAATGATACTATTGAGGTCTGCCTCAGTAGGAGCAAGGTCCTGGCCCTGCAGGACATTCCAATACAATATGGCATGCTAAGAGGTGTGTCAGAAAATGCACAGACATGGAGCGAAGGGAAATTTTAAAAGTGTATGGCAATAGGGTTACAGCAGAGGTGACAGTGCCCACTTTACTGCGCCTGCATGGCCTAGTTTTTGCATGGGGACAAAAAGAAGGCCTGCCTTCATGCAGTCTTGTAATTCATTGAGGCAGAGCTGGTTTTATGTTCTATCCATTAGGCCACATTTCCTCTATTAACTCACAAATGGCAGGGATTGAGAAAAAGGTGAAGAAGAACATCTCTAAATTTTCTGGTGAAAAATAAGCCACAGAATTATTTTCATTAAGATTTCATTGGCATTTATCAATGGGAGAAAGCACATGGAAAGCAGTTGTTTGTCATACATACTAATGACAAGATGCTGGGCTTTCCATATCCTATAGCATATTGTTATTTGCAGCAATGCAGAATGGGTACATTTAGGGGAGGGGAGTGAGGAAGGTAAGGGAATGCTGAACACTGTTAGGATTTGTGGTGCTTTCGGGGCTGGGAGTAAAAGCTTCAGCAGAAAAAATAATCTACACATTTGTTCAGGGGTTTTTTGTTAAAGAGCAAAGCTTTAGTCATGCATTCGTATGGTAAATGTTGTAATTTCTCAGTTGGCTCAGTTTGAGTATTCAGTAATTATTCTCTGTGATGCTTGTGGCCATACTGAGATTTTATTCAAGAGTCATTGAAATAAGCAACACCAGGGGGACAGCTACTATTTTTGTTTTGTTATCGTTTTGCTTAGGGTACATGCACAATGCTGTTCTTCATGTTTGAAATACCTTTCAAAGATATTTCAGTGAATTCAGAAAATACATGATAGAACTAGAGGATCCAGTAATTATGGCTGGTAATGGTGAATTTGGGTGCTAACAAAGCCAAACATAATCTGTTTTAATTAACTAACATTGCTTTTTTCTCAGTAATATGATTAGAAACATACATGGTTAGTTCTCAAGGACCTTTTACCAGTGCTCTTCCTTTTATAACAGTCACAAAGGCAAGTTTCAGCTTATGTACACAGCAAAACTACCATATCCTTTAGAAATAACAATCATGAGAAAAATGTGTCTACCCTACACTTTTTAATCCTCTAAAGGCATATGTGTATTCTTCATTGGGTCTTCCCACATGGATAAAGGATACAGATGACAGCCTTTAAGAGTAAATTTTAAAGAGCAAGAGAATAAAAAACCCCAAACCCCTAGTACCTAGAATATGGCATGTACTTTTTTTTAGTAACAGACGGATTAAATTTGACTGTTATGTGAGTGCTGGAAGAAACTCTGCTTTCATGGGTCACCAGTAGTCATTTTGTGTTTCATAATGGTAGCAAGTATGTGAGATAAGTTTAGAAAAAGGAGCAGTCGAGGCCCAAGAAGTTTACTTTCAGTGGGGTGACGTGATGAAGGTGAAGGGAGAGAGACAGTTTTGTAGCAGGAGTTAAAATAAGAAAGAATCAGTAGTATGAATAAAAATGAGCTAGACATGTAACAGCGCACAGAGTGAAAGGGGACTTGTCTATGGGAACCCAGCTTTCCAGCAGGCTTCATGTCCCATGTGAGTTTGTCTTTATGTTATGGGAAGATCTTTCCATAATTTTTATTAAACAAAATAGTCTGCATTATCTAAACAGTTTACTATGTTATTTTTCATCACTGTGGTCTGTGGATGTGTTTCTGCTGGTATAGGTTTTGTATCTTGTATAATTTGAATGCTTGGCGGAGTTCCTGTTCTATAGTCTTAACTCCTCCACTGGATTAGCAGAAATGTCCATGGCAGTTTATTTTTTGATTTTTAGCTGAAATATTTTCTTGGCTGCTCATTAATTGAGGAGTCTTTTCCCTAGTGTTTATTTCAATAGAATATAATTAAGGTGATTTACTTCACAAGTAAATATATGAAAATATGTGAATAAAGAGAGACTTATCACAATTTCAGTCACACTTTAGATTGCTCTGGGAAGTTTGTTTCACTATGTAAATACATGTAGGCACCAGTTGATGCACATATTCAACTAAGGAGGAGGAATTTTCAGTTCTTTTCTACTTGTTGAATTTCTACAGCTTTTTGTTCTGTGAGAGGAAAAGTGCTTTGCAGTACTTAGCTGTAGCCTTCTGCCTTAGCTGAAGGCCCTACTCAATACACCTTGGCTAGAGAGGATCTCAGCTGTGCTATACGTGTTTACAGCAATAGTGAGGTTAAATCAATGCAACAGCGAGGAGACCTTCAAAGTTTGTAGAGAGAGACAGATTACAATTCTATCAGCAAGAAGGTGGCTTTTTTAAAAAGCCAGTGTGGAACCTTAGAGAATGGAAAAATGCTTAACTGATATATTTTAAGATGTTGGAGACAAAAAATGGTGGAGTCCAGTACTTAAATAAAGGATATTAAGAAATGAACAAAGGTGTCTAAGAAATGGAGTAAAGTTAATCAAGAAGTAGTTCTTTAAACATGCACTGTACAAAATAAACAAAAAGGAAAGAAGGAATTGATCAGCACATGTTGAAAGCTAGTGATGGGGGTTAATCTGACTACACAAAAGACTTAAATCGCACAGTTTTTTGATCAAGATAATATTGTCCAGTCTCTGAATTGCTTTTATCTTGGTAAGACATATTCTAAAGCATCTTTAAGAAGACATTGATAGCATTCAGGACTGACAAAATATGATAGCTGCATTAACTCACCATTTCTCAAAAAAATAATGAAAGATTAAAACAAAAAAAGTAATTAATGAGGACTTAGGTTGAAAGGACAAAAAAATTAAGTATGCTTGCACACATTACTTAGATCAGTTTCTTTTAATAAATAGATTTATTTTTTTTTAATTATATGCAATGTTTGAATGAAATTACAGTTCATAATATGTATGGTTTAGTTGTGGTCTTAGGCAGTAGATGCTGGAATTGGTATTCAGGGAGAATAGATTAACAATTGTAGAACTGAAAAATTCTTTAACTGTTTGCAGTGTGATCCAACTCAACATAAGAACTCAAAATTTGTAAGATTAGTCCTTTACTGCAGTGGAAATGGAAGGTGGATAATTGTGTTTACACAGACTAGAAAAAACAAAGAGAAAAAAAAAATTAAAACCCCAAACATTTAGTTCATTGCTAATGAGAACATAGTGTCTAGATCCAAATTTATACATGCCAATGAGGAATGGGCCTAAAACTACTCGAATCACTTTCACTGCAATATTATCAGGATTTCTTGTTGGATTACAACATTTCCATATATATTTTAGACATGTAAGAACTGTAGGTTATTATATTTGCTTCTTTTTATTTTTAAAACAATATTTTTAAAATACAATTTTTAGAATTTCAAAATTAAACGAGAAATAAGTCATCAGGAGCTGAGAATATTTTGCATCTTAGAAATGGCTTGTGAATCATGGTGTTCTTTGAGCAAGCAAGTAAAGAAGTAATTAAGAAATAAATTGGTACCTGTATTTTTATTTGAAATATCTTATGAAAAGGGACTGGGAATTTTACAAGAGACAAATGACTACATTTAAGATTCCAAATATTTAGTAACAGTGCAGTGATATTCATTATTGAGAAATTAATAATTAGTACTGATTAGGATACTGTACATAGTCTTCAATCATTATAACACCAGATAGTATTTGACTGAAGTTCCAGTTAGGTGTAGATTTTTTTCAGTATTCACCTAGATGTTGTCATACAGTATTTTCTTCTTATGAACCTGAGACTTATGAACCTGGAACGTGGAGTATACTGTCACCTACTTCACATATGCGTCTGGTATTCATATTGATGGGGGCATCTGCACTGAAGATCTCCAACCTAGACAGCAAATGGAGGTTTGTCAGTGTACAGTGCTTGTGCTGTGCTTTGATAATCCTACATGTTGGTTTTCTACCTAAAATATATAAATGAAAATACTGGCTTGTATGTTGCATGTTAGGAGAAGCAGATCTTAAAAAAATATCAATCTTTAGCATATTAGCACTTTGGACTAGAGAAGTAGTTGAAATAATAAAAAAATATATATAACACGTAAGGAACTGTTGATGAACTCAGCATGTGAAACTCCAGTTGCCTATCAGCTTCTGTCTGCTGTCATGAATGAGTGTTTTCTCCTGCTTTCTTAGATTTTTTTTTTTTTTTTACTTTCATTCTGTTCCTGGTTTAAAATTAATTAAAATATTATGAGATTTATTAATTAAATTTCATTTAAAAAAATGAGCCCCCATGAAAGCAGTACCTGGTGCATTGTAGCATAATAGTCAGTGGGTTCCATCCAAATTGATTGAATTAATTTTTCACTATGTATGTTGTACATAAATTTCAAGTACAGGGAATGACACGGGAGTAAGATATTATAATCACCATTCAATTGAAAAAAACCCTTACATTTTTGGGGTAGCTAAAAAAGAACTCTGGATCTTGTGAGAGCTCTGGTGGGTGTTGCCTTAAGCCAGAAAAACTCCATAGTTGTAGGGCTCTTTATTGACAGTAAAAGCGCTCTAAAAAAGATGAAAAATAGCATGTAGGGCAGAGAAAATATTAAACTATTCTGATTTTTATTATTTTGTATCTCTCAGTGTGTATTGGAACCATTTCTAAAACTTTTGCAGGAGGCCATGATTCGATGAACCTTCTCTAGATGAGAGGTTAAGAGAAGCATCCATTCTGTTGAGGAGCTGGCCAACCCAGGCCTCCAAATCTCTCATATCTGTCCATCATTAGTGAAACCATGATGTGCTGTAATCCACTTTTCACGAGTATTGTTTTCTGATGCTTTCATAATTCTCAATTTTACTGTCCACAGAGAGCGAAGAAGTGTACCAGCGCCAGGTGCTGTCTATTTCCTGTATCGTCTTTGGCATAGTCGTAGTGGGCATGCTTTGTGCAGCGTTCTACTTCAAAACAAAGTAAGAGCTTTTGTCTAGAGTGTTTGTTATTTAGCTTCTGTACTTTTTACAGATTTACAATTCTTCAGTTTCTCCCTTCCCTTTGAAGCTGTTGTTATCTCTGGACAGGCTAGAACAGTTCCCTGTGGCTACACTACCTAAGTCCAGAAAAAAAAAAAAAAATCCAAACAAAAAAAAAAAAAAAAAAAAAAAAAAAAAAACAAACAAAAAAAAACAGGAGTAATATGTGCCCTCATTTCTATTTTCTGATATCAGGAAAGAAGAGATTGTGTCCTTTCTTGTTCTTTTTTTGGCAATTATAATTTTGTGTCTTTACTATCAGTGCAATAGTCACTTTCCTCTTTTGAAAATAAAAGTTTAAACATACTATCTCCTTTTGGCATTTAATTTCATATCCCTGAATGTCCCTTTTGTTTCTGTATGCTGAGAACAAAGGTAAATTTAGAAATGCAGAAAAAGACAAGTTCTCTGCAGATATCTGTAACCTGTAGCTAATAGCTGCTGATGCAGTTGCATGAGTATCTGTAATGCATAAGTACATTGAACTATCCAAGTAAAGTGGAATCAGCTGTACTAAACTATTTTCAAGTGAAATATTTTCCACTTTATTCTTTATCATCCCAACCAAACATTATTTTATAATGTTTATTGTTATGTGTGTAATCTGAGTTGCAAAAACCTTATAGCAATTACATGATATGCTTGTCAGTGACACTGTATCTATAAATATGTTCTGTATGGTTGTCATCCCTCATTCCTGTTCCAGCTGGAGCTAACGAGAGAACACATATCAATATAAATAGTACCTGCATGAGGTTAGTCATGGTGGCTGAGCATCAAAAATGTGGAGGTTTGCACTATTTAAAAGTTTGGATGCTTATCTGAATCCCCCTTTTTAGAATTTATTTTAATGGGTAGGAAATCTGATGAGGACTACTTTTTATTTTAAAAACAATATATATATAAACTTGACATTTCTATCAGGAGAAAAAGTAAGTTGGAATAGTCACCAGGCCTTTTTTTCCCCCCTTCTTCTTCCCCTTAGACTTCAGGGGTAGTTTGTGCATGATTTGAGTGGAGATTTGAGTTGGTTCACGTTTCATCTAAACACTACTACCTATTCTAATATCTTGAGGGATTTTGTTTAATTGTTCTTTGGACCTAGAGCATGATGGTGATGCTAGCTGGGAGAATGCTGTGACAGGACAGTTCCTCTCTGCAAAATCCCTGGTTGTAGTATGAATTGTGAGCATAGAGAGTCATTTTTGCCACTACATTAGAAGTGTCATTATGCATTTTGGATCTGCAGAAGGAAGAAAGAGAGAATAAGGTGTTCCTGTTCTTCCTGGAAAGGCTTGGGTTTATTGCTAATGAAGAGAGATTCAGAAAAGGCAGAATGGGATTGTCAGTTGGAAGAACATGCAGTCAACAGCTGAGCATAGTGTGAATAACATGTTCCTCTGTTATTCAGCTGTGCCCCTCTTGGTTTTGCACTGTTGTAGGGAGTGGTGGAGAGCTGGGTTGGAACAGCCTTCAAAATACCTTGATTTTGATGAGGTGGTGGGGAGAGATATGAGTAGAAATAGTGCTTCAAAGATGAACTCACAGGACAATAGTGCTTTGTATTTTAGCAGGAGGTGGGGGTGTTGGGTTTGGTTTTTTTATCTACATTATAAATATGATAAGTAAGAGTTACTGAGAAGAGTTGCAGTGTGTTTATGACAGATTCTGGGAACTGAAGTTTGAAGAGTAATGAGAAAATGAGCATCTCCAGTTCAGTCAAGAGGTCTTATCAAATATATGAAACACAGTAATGGTAAGGTACTAATCAATCCCTTACTCCCTGGCAGTGGCTCCATCTGGCAAACTGTTCAAAAAGTAAATATTATCTCGACTGGGTTGCATAGAGGCCAGGTAAAATAGTATCATACTGTGACATTGGCCAGTGTCTTTAGGGTGTAAAAAACAACAAATTTAAAGTGCCTCAAACCTTACTGTATGTTAGCTTTTAGTCAGCAGATTTTCAGGAGCTGCTTCATCAAGCAGATGCATCTTGATCGTGCTTAAGAGTTATCAAAGCATTCCTCCTGCCTGGGGAATAATCCTTGGGTTTAATTTGATGTATCAAAAAATTAAAATATTGCTAACAGCTACACAAACTCTGAATGGTCCACCCTTTAAGAAAATGTTTCAATGAAGACATTGACCCTGACTTTCTTAGTCTGACAATTGTATAATACCTGCTGCTAGAAACATGTACTTCCCTATGCACCATTAAATTAAGTCCTTCTTTAAAATAAATTAAATCTGAGGAAGCTTAGAACTATAATTAAATACTGTGCCCTTCCAATTATTCCTGTTAGGGTAATCAAGAAAGTGTTGTAAGTGTTAGCAACAGAGGGAGAGTACAGTAATGGGCTGCTCTTTATGGCTTAGATTTTTATAAATGACTAGTGACTATTTCTTGCTGAAGTAACAACACACTTCATTGCTGAGTTATCTCTAAAGTAGAATACATAAGCCCCATTTGTTTTGAAAACAAAAATTGCAAAAAAGATGTATCAATCAGTGAGTAACTTTGAATTATTAATAATTTCTAGTTTTATAACTGTGCATCCTATAGTTTGACAAAATGAATATGCATAAACCTAATATTAATGTTAGGTTGCATGAACATAAAAGGAAACAAATCATTAGATTGCTCCTCTCAGTAATTTATCTTCAGGAATCTTAATTGTAATGTTAAAGATTACAGCAATGAATCTGAATATTCCCTTTTACTTATATGTGTTTATAGATGTAGAAGCAACTCTAAACCAAGGTTTTCTAAATAAATACAAATTAGAGTTCAAAAAAGTTGTAATTTTTTTTTGTTAATTCCCTGATTAAATTTTGGAAACATTGTATGTGTAGGAGAGATTCCCAATGTCTGATGCTGTGATCATGTTTCCCTGTCATTGTTTAGACTTTATATGAAGTCTCCACTCAAAAACAGTAATCAAAAAGACTGGATGTTCCATAACCATTATGGAGACCAACATACAAGTGGCAGGCTTTCCAGTAGGACATACAGATATGTATGCTTATTTCCTTAGTGCATGTAATTTGGCTGGTCAGAAAATAAGTATTCATGCAAACTCTAGAGTTGCTTTTATGCATTTCTACTGGAATTTTATGAGGAGCTAAAGAGTTCATTTTGACATTTTACAAATTAAATTATTCAAGTTCATTGGTTTCAGAGGTGAGTAGATATCAAAAAATGTTTTTAAAAGATGTTTCAGAATCAACTGACTAATTAATTTAATTTGACAGTATAATCCTTCAGATCACATATCTATTCAGATTCTGATATTAACTTTACAAGTTGTTTTGGCTAAGTAAGAATTTTGAAAGTTTAATAAGTTTTTGTGATTGAGAAATTATTTCCTCACCCACCCATATTCATAAATCTTACTAATTATGAGCTCCTAGCTATACTCAAATTATGGCACTCATATTTGTAACACGTTTACAATGTAAATTAATTCTTTTTCATTTGCCATGCTGTTTCAAAATAATATGTAAATAGAAAGCATAAGAGATACTTATAGAGTCCAAGTTTTATTATAGTTTATGACTTGTACTCAGGAAACGTGCTATAACAAATATCTACTTCTAAGCAGGTGCTTACAGCTTGTTGACTTTAAGCAAAAACTTAAATTGTGCAATGCTGAATGAGAACTAAGGGACTCAAAGGCAGAGGAAATCCCATATATTTATTTTAATATATTAAAAAGTATATTATTAAAATTGAGTATCGAACTGTGATACTTCTCACTGCTTGCTTTCATGTTGAGGGAACTTGTCCTTTCTCACAGTTTCTCCCCTTGACCGCTTAAGTAAGTCATTTTCCTCTGGTTTCTTACATTTTCTTGCACTAGACACAGACTCCACTGAAATAAGATAAAATTACTTTTATACTTCATTCAGTGTAAAATTAATTGGCCTGAGTCAAGTACGATGCTATCAAACTTGATGATGTCACAAGGCCTTCAGTGCAGAAAGGCTATATTTTTCTTTAGTTTATATGGACACTTCCCTGAAATCACTTCCTTCTGAAATTTGGCTCCACACCAATTGCTGTACAAAAGCTGCTGGTGGCATAACAAAGTGCTGCTGGCGAGTCCTTGGCCTTGCTGGGCAGTTTCCAAGGCCTTTGTAGGCTTGCTGCTGAAGATGCATCTGCTGGGGAGAAAAAGGAAGAAGGGAAGGGTAGAAGGAACGGCAGAAGAAATGGAGGAATTAAAATAATGTTGTGGAGTTATATCTCGTGATCATTTAAAACAGGCAGTCTCGGACAGTGTAGCTTATCAAAAGAACAGAGACTGATAAAAGACCTTAAATATATTTTGCCCAGCTGAGATATCTGTTTGCATAAGATAAAATAAATTGAAAATTAAGTTTGGTCCCTCATATCCTCAATTGTGTAGAACTATAAAACTCAGTTTGTCAATATAATGTGGTAGAAACAGAAAGCCTTTATTAACAGTGTAGTTTTCTCCTGAATATTGCAAGTGATTCATCTAGTGGTATAAGTAGCTCTGACATAGTGGATCATAGCATAATATGTCAAAAACACACCGTATTGATGTTTTTTTTTCCAGGTTAATCATGCAAGCAAAAGCTGGTCCATACAAGACACTGGGTTATAGGTCAAGTCTGAGAGAGCAGAAATCTTTGATTCTTCAACACTTTTTATAGCCAACAGGGGCTAATGCCTGCTGTATTTGCTAAAATCTTTGTTTCAAATCAAAGCAAAATGTTTTTTTTATTATTCAGGCCTACTTGCAAGCTATTGTTAAATATGTATTAGATGATCTTACAAAATTCTGCACTAAAACAACTAGCATGCTATTATAGTGATCTGAGAATAGAAGATATTTTGAACAAAAGAGCTCTTTTTTTCCTTTCTTAAGCCTCGCCAGAAAATGACCACTGCACTGAAATCCTAGACACTAGTGAATTAGCTCAGCTGGTTAATCTAATACGGTGACGTTTTGAACAAAGGGAACCATGACTATAAAAATATCGTGGCTATAGTAGAAGATCAAACTAGTTCTTTCTTACATGAATTTTATTTCTATCTGCAGGAAACAAACAAAGCAAATTCATGAACAGCTGAAAGAAACACTGAATAGAAAAACCTACAGCCTAAATGCTTCCAGCATGATGGCAAAGTCAGAGTGTATGGCACAAAGCCGAGTCCAGCTGCAAAATGTAAGTAATCCTTCCAGCTACAACACTTAATAGCCTGGCTGAGTTCCTGCTGCTGATGGCAGCACATCGCCATGTTGCTATTGGCATCTGAGCAATGGGAACAAGAATTCTCACCTCTTTCATAAAATGTTTTCTATCGGGCCTCTTAATGGAAAACACCAAGCAGGGATTTTTTTCTAAAGTTATTTCAATGGATCCTGGTACATTTTGTTCATGTAATAGAGCGTGCTGAGTCTCCTAGCTCTGCATCCAGCAGTGAAAATTACTATTATAACTTCCAGCAATACCTTAGCTCTTATGTATGGTTTATAGGTGAAGTGGGTATCCTTGATCTTAAGTGATTTCAAGTCTTCCAATAATTAATGAACCTGCATGAAAAAAACGTAGATTTTTCACAGTTACTCCAGAATAAATTCACAATCTAGAACTAAATGTACACATGTAAACTGGTGCCCAAGCGAAGACTGTGCAGATGGTATCATTTTCCTGGGTCTTGAGTTAGAGATTTTTTGATACCAGAAAGAGATTAGTCTGTTCAAACTAAATTTGAAATTTATTTAGTGCTTTTCTGTATATAGTTGTAAGTTGATACAGTCCCACAATCATGAAATCCATAAAGTGTATTTGAAATAAGGAACTTGAAGTCAATTGTTTAGCCCTGGATGCAAGGTATTTTAGAATGTTTGCCATTCTCTTCCACTGATCATACATATTTAATGCTTGTTTATTTTGAACAAAGTCTTTGGAAAAACTGAGAAGGATCCTAGTAGCAATATAATAGGAAATTGTAGAAGATGTATTGAAGCCTTTCTAAATGCTTAACTCCTTCCAAAAAAAAAACCCACAGTATCTTAGCTTTGCTTAAAGGGCTGACTACCTCATTTGTCAGATTCCATCAAAACAGTTAGAGTTTAACAAAAATGATGACTCATGCCCACTTAGCCACAGATATCTCAACTTCTGGTTTACATCAAATTAATGTAGAAGTAAGTATAAGTCCTTTTAACCAATTCAGAGTAAGCAGAGCCTCCATGCTGTGACAGAGGAGTTATCAGAGCAGTGTTCACTAAAAATTTTGTTTTAGAGGAGCACCACTGTGGTCATGATATGCTTTGTGGCATATCCTATTTCAAGAAGGAAGATAGCTCCATTACATTGACATAATCACATTTTAGGGAACCTTGTGAAAATCTGTTTCACTTTCAGTTCATTCAGCCATTAGTTCATTCTAACGCCTAAAAGAAAAGCTGTTGGGAGTGTTGTTGGGTTGTAATGATGGCAACAAAAGGTAAAGTTGTAAAGACCTTTTGTGATCCTTTTGTTCTAACATATAAAGTAAGTTTTGGTTAAAACTAAGAATATGTTTTTTGCCTTTATCTCACTGTAATTAGTGCAATATTTTGTCAAACCCTCATCATGATGGACTATTTGATGTCTTCTGAGCATCTGACAAACACATCAGCAAGCTTTATTTAAGTCTTTTTCTTTTGCTATAACAATGGCTGAAGTAGCAGTTTGTAGATTCCAGATATTAGAGACTGAAAACCTTTTTTATTATTTTAATCCAAATTTGCTTTTCAGCTTTGAATGATGTTCAGACTGGCATTATCAGTGCTGGTAATTAACACACCATTTTCTTGTTCTTGTGGCTGCTTGCAGGCAGCTGTTTTCTCCTTGCCATTAATGCATTTTCCCTTTGGGGGCAGAGATAGTAAGGAAGAAAAACAGAATGACCTTGTGCAGGATGTACTGTAACAGTGCAGTGTAATAATGGTTTCTATTGTTAGCAAGATTTTAGTGCAGGAAAGCATGTAGGCAGTTCATAAAATATTTACGAAACTTGGCAGATTGGAGGGGAAAAAGAAGGGCAGGGGGGTATGGTGAGGCAGCAGAAAATAACTTTGAAATGGTATTTTGTGGGAATGGCTGAGTGGCTCCCCATCAGAGACCAGAGATCTGCCCCAGGTGTATCTGCTGGGTGGGAAAGGGAGTAGGCAGTGGCATGGGGAGGAGAGCGCTGGCTGCTCGCTCCTGCGGCTGTGCTGCCGCCGTTCAGCCGCTCACTGCCCGGATGGGACCTCTCCACCATCCCCATCTGCACCTTAACCACCGCATGGGTTTGGGGAGAAACCTTATTTCTCTGCATTTCCAGAAGCCAATAAAGAAACTTAAATAAATTAAGGTGATTATTTTCTGGAGACTAGTCCTCCAGTCTGACATTTTGTTTTATGTAATCCTGGAAGCTGCTGCTTCTCCCTCTTCAAATGCTCCTCTTACATGGGAAAACCATCTTGCTTCTATGTCACCTTTCTCTCTTTCCCGGAAACATTCTCCCATATTTTTTTCCTGCCTGTTTTGAATGGAACTGGTGATGCTTTCAGGTTTTTAACCCTGCTTTTTCTTCTTCTACAGAGAAGAATGCATTAGTGTAGACCTGAGAATAGTTGCATTCGTTATTCTTGATGGCTATTCTAATAATGTCTATTCTGAAAGAACCATCAGATTTTGACTCAGAGCTTTCTAGATTTAGTAAAGGATACATGGATCTTTTCAAATGCTGTGTGCTCTAGAAAGAGGTTTTACTTATTTCCCAAGGCCCGGGGTATAGCAGATAGTGTTTCAAGTGGTTTGTGGCTGTAAAGAGCTTGACCAATCTCAGTAAAGTACTTTTTCTCCTCATCATTCCTTTTTTCTCTTTTTACTCTTGACTGGACTTTATGAAAATAATTATTTTTCATTACTTACTTTCAAAGCCAATTTTCAATCATTTTTTAAATGAAAGAAGCCATGTGAATGTATCAAAATTGCTGTTAACAAAAAAACCCCACACATTTAGTTTTTGAACCTAGTATTAAAGTGAATTACAAATTTGCATTTTATTCTAGCCCAACTCATTTTGCAGCCATTTGCATTACTGCAGAAGGAAAAGAACTTCATACTTCAGTCCCCATGGTATCCAACCTCTACACCAGTTAATGTTTCTTTGCAGTAGTGTGATTTTAACCATATACATGGTTAAAATCTCTGAATGCTTGCTTTTAAATCACTCTCCATTTGTATCAGAATTCTCATGCTGCATCGTAGACTACAGGTTACCTTTCAGAAATCCTTATTTCAAAAGGCAATGTTTAAAAAATGGATTTAAAATGTTGGACATTCCCCCCAAGTTCATTAGACATCCATATGGTAGGATTGCTCTTTCAAGTACAGCAACAGGATATCCAGGAAAAAAATGGAGCTGGCCAACTGAAAAATGTAGGATTTTTAGAACTCATTTAAGAAGTTACTCTCTTTGGGGTTTTTGCTCTCTCTGATCATCAGGGTAAACACAAGCAAGGAAGAATGGCTGCATCCCAGCACATCCCTTGGCAAGCCCTGATGTTGAGGAAGAACACAAGGAGAGTTAGGCGTTTAGGTTAAAACATGGATGCCTCCCTTTCATTTGCTACATTGCAGGGAATAAAGCTTGCTTGCTTTGACGATATTTTGAAGTATCATATGCTTTTCCTTTTCACAAACAAATGCATTACATCTCCCCACTTCCTTCCTCTGCTCAGTTGTGATTCTGTAAAGTGAAAATAAAATAAAAGGGTTAGATTTTGTCAGGACAGATGTATTCTCTCTGAACTCCTACTGCTTATAGCTGGTAGTTGTGTTCACCTGTGCCAAGTCTATTTCTCTCAGTATCAATTCCATTATTTTGTTATTTAAATTAGATGAAAAATACTGTACACTGTAATCAGAGTTCATAAATAACTGTTTGAATACAGCTCCTAGTATTTTTCCTGAATATCTTTCAAGTCCGTTGCTTTTCCTAAATATTCTGACAGCAACACATTTAATTTCTTGCTGTTTTCTAGTGTCTTGGATTTGGGTACTAATGCACTGGTAATCTTCCTATAATTCTTCAGTCAGGAAGAGACAGATGTACCAGGTATTGATGCAGGATCTTTGACAGACACAGAAGATTCACATTTACTTCACTTAATGCATGACACTTAGGACTTCATAGTATCATGTACCCCTTCCCAAAAAGATTATATTATCTTCAAGAGATATTTAACGATTGTGCTCCACAAGACTGCAGCAAACAGCCCAATGTCCTCATAGGCAAAAGTAAGTAAATTGTCATTCTCAGCTGTGAAGAGGGTCCCAATACAGAGAGTGGCCCAAGTAACGACAGTCACACCAATGCGGCTACATGTCGTCCCCCTCTATTGCCCGTATCACTTGGTTATATACCTTGCACAGCAAGCACCCGCTGTTCACGCGCCCCATACCCCTTGATTATTGGTCATAAGCAACTTATCACGCACCCAAAGGCAAACTGTGATAGGCAAGCATCTTGTGGTTTGCTGCATACTTGTGCTTAGCTTAGCCAGATACATAGCTGGGAAAATTCCTCATTAACAGATACAGTTCCTCACAACACAGCCCTTCAAGGTCATTCTCACAACACAGGTGTTGTCAGCAGTCTGATCTCAGGCCTGGATTGTCCAAACCCTGCAACGAAATATCATGACCATTCTCTGTCAGAAATTCTGCTACACAGCTGCCCCTTGTACACCATGCAAGGGGCGAGATGAGGTGTTGTGGCCCTCCTTTTGTCTTTCTGTAGTTCACCAGTCTTCATGAGCCTTAGTTGTACTCATGATTACTAGGTCCTTTTTCCACCCTGACTAGAGAGTTTCTTTAAATTCTTATAACTTGACAAACGTCATGGGGAAAAAAAAAAAAAAAAAAGGTAGCTGAAGCATTGCCATTTCTTTACCAATCCTGAGAGTTGTCATGGTTGTTTTAAGTGGCCTTTTTCACCTTTGTGGATTTTAATACGTTTTCCCATAGTCCTAAGTGGATATATTAATTGCCTATCACTTTCCCTCTGAGGTAGTTAATATGCCTTTCAGACAGTAGTGTGTGGTTTCACTTTTCACTACACTTGTTTCTAATAGCTTGCAATCACTAGTTCCAGGTTTCTTATATAGTGAGAGGAAAAAAAAAAATGCTTTTTTTGTGTCTTGTTGCCTTTTGTTGATAGTAGTAAGAAATAAATTATTTTTAGTCACTGTGATAGAAATGCAATTAATATATATTGAGCAACAGACACACTTAAATCTTTTAAAAGACTGCTGTGAAGTTTTGCCTGAGTTACAATGTGATTTATCAGCTAAGATCAAGAGCAAATTTCCCATTTCTATATCGCATGACTACTTAGGAAGAACTGCCAAAATAGACAAACTTTAATTTACTGGCCTTTGTCTAGAGCTAGTGTTGGCAACAAGACTTATAGAGCATATGGAATCAGCTATAAGGATGTTAAATATACCACCTGATGGGCTTCTGTGCAAGGTCAACCCATCCAGAAAGATCACTGGCTTTTTACCTCCTTGAGGCACCCTCTCTGAATGTAATTTAAAGCTGACCCCTCTGCCTTCTTAGTCCTTTATGAAATGGGATCCCCATATCACATCTCTTCCAGTGCCACATGTGTTTCTGGACTTTTTATTATTACTATTTTGGGAAGATCACTGAGGAGGAAGAGCTAAGTAAAGATGGAGAGAGGGATAGGTGTTTTGTTTTGCATAGTACTAAGAGAAAAGTGTCAACCTATTCTGTAGCACTTGAGTGACATTGGTTGTCCATGGATTCTATGTTTTAGAACAGAGAATACAAGGCATGGAGCAGGGGAATTGTGTGCTCACAGTCGTACAGTAAGCCAGTGGCAGAGGCTGATTTCTTGTCCCCTGGCCAACTTTGTAGATTTCCATAATATTAACTAGTGAGGGGTAGAATTTTGTTGTCAAAGAGTTGGGTAATTGTACATAACAGATGATTTTCTCCATGAAACCATGAAAAAATGAAAATTTTCAAAATGTTTTTTTTTTTAATGCTATCATTATTCTTTAATTTATTTAGCCGTAGGCATCAGCATTTCTCAGTAATTGCTCAAACAAGCACAAATAATTAAGCAAGACAATAAAACCATAAAAAACCCAAATAACATAGATAAGCTTTCAGTGATGCTTTCAACTTACTGGAACAGTTCTCTGAAAGTGTTTCACAGCTTATTCTCTATCATCACTGAGTATTCAGCAGCTCACAACAGTCAGAAGGCTCTGCAGACCTCAGCCCAGGTGAGAATGGGTCTCTGGAAGCAGCAGGATGGGCTTTGCTGGGATACCAATGGAGAGTAATCCTATACTGTATGCCAGGGGATACCAAGTGATACTGCTGTAAACTCTTTACAGAAATCTGAAAATATTTTTCTCAGAGATGACCTCAGGGAATGGGTGTGGTACTTACTGTTAAGCTAAAGGAGAATAAACCCAACTGTGTTTAAATCTATTGAAATGTATGAATAATGTGATACATTCAAATAAGTTCAATTACGTTGTTCAAATTCTTTGTATATTCACACCCTCAACTTAAATTGTGACTCACATTTTCATTGTAATTAATGTTTGGCTGTTATGGTAATTGGTAAATGGTGCATCTGAAAATGGCGTAAAAGTTTTTGGTCAGGGGAAAAATTATCCTTTGCAAGATGTGCCTGGGTGGTGCTGGGTGTTTGACCTTCAGTATAGTTTGCCAGACAGCATCAGAGCAGCTTCTGGGGGTCCTGGTTTTCCTCAGTTGTGATGAGGAAAGACTCTGTATACCATCACTCTGGCCCACATTCACCTTAACCATAGGTGCAGCTTATCTCTAGTTACCTTTCATGATTCACTTCATACTCATGGTCTTCCAAGCCATTTGGACCTTCGATTTAGTATCATAAAGAAACAAAAAAAAAAAAGGACAAAAATAGCTTCCTGGCAATAACAACCCTTTCTTTACAGCGCTCAAATTGATTTATTCAGGTCAGAAATCAAAGATAGTTTCATTTTTGCAGCTGGCAGGATAACTACTAAAGTTTAAAATCTTCACAGACATGAGTACCTTAAAAATCATACTGCTGTCTGAATATTTTATCTACAGCATTTACAAGTGACAACTATGATCATGGTAACTGAAAGAAATAAGACTGGAATATATTTCTTCTTATTATTTCAGTTGTGTTTGTTTCATGCATGCTGCAACATTTTGTGTATTATCACTCTTGTAGCTTTGCCTTTTGCATGTGATTTTGGCCCTGTTTATATGGATATTTCACACAACAGAAAGAGGGAGAAGAGCATTGGAGAAAAATTTGAATATCTGTTATTTTATCTATAGAAATTGGTCATTAGAAGTCTGAATAGATGAACTAAAATTGCATGTAACACATTTTTAAGAGAGTAATCTTGTATGACTTTTTGATTTTTCTGAAGTCTGGGGAAATGTAGATAAGGATAAGTGAGAATCAGAGAATAATTCTGTATTTTTAAGGAGTTATTGTTTTTTTATTAGACAACAAAATAATTATGGAGAACTGTGCTTTGAAACAAATCTTACTATCTTCTCCACAAATATTTATGCTATTGTAACATAGCATGGCATTTTTTACCACTGTGGGGTTTTTTATATTATTATTTTTTTAATTTGCATTTTCTATCTAAAATATTTGATCATGTAGTAGTTTCCACAATATTGGTTTATTGTAAAGATAACATGGACACCTAGCTATCTAGTACTAAAACTACAAATTCAATACAGAAAGAAATGGATTAAAGAAAAATAGACTAATTAGTTTTAGTGCAGGTCATTGTAATGCAACATAAAAAATCTGCAAAATGCAGTATTTTTCCTAACTGAGTGGAAATGTAGGTTGACCTCTCATATCTCTGAGATATTGCCCAGTGATCACTAACAAAATTGATTCTTCTTCTAAGCCAAAATGCAGCTTTTTTTATACTTTGACTTTCTGGCTCCATTCAGGATCAGAGACACAATTTTTCTGAATTTCCAATTGAATCACAAAGCAAGAAGAACAACATCTGTTCTTATTCATGTCCAGTGTCTGCTTTACAGACCTTTGTGTCTCACTATGAGCCCAGAGACTGCCCTACGCCTACAACTGTCACAGGAAGAATTATGTTTACACTGTTCTTACTAGCACAGATACTCCCAGGTCAAAACTTTCAGACTTGTTCAGAAGGGATATCTGGCTTTACAGATAGAATTCAAATATTTTTCTTACTTATCTGATTATACAAATGCTGCTTCAGTTTGGTTTTCATAGTTATGCATGCTGATAAAAGCAGTGTTTGACTGAAATCACCAAAGGACCCAAGAAGGTGCTGACCATCCTCTGAGATGTGTTTCTTGATCTCAGAGACTGCATAGATAGCCACAAAAACAGGCTTTTAGTCAAAGGGATCAGTGTTCCCTATCATTATGGGCAGAGCAGTCAGTAATTTTGCTACTAATGCAGATATCAGCATTTTGATGTGGAGAAGGTAATGGGGATAATGAGTACCAGCACTTTCTGCTATGTAAACAATAGTGAATGAATGTATTACTTGCAATGCCTAATTTTAATTTAAAAATGCATTAAAGCACTTCTTACCATGCTCTGATATGAATTCTGGTTGAATAGCATCAACAATGTACTTTGTCTTTTGTGTATTAATTAATTTTATTCTCTGTGCCGTAGTATTCAAAAACAGATAGGCATCCTGGGCCTATTCTGGACAAAGTTATGGAGTCTAGTTTTTCAGGCCCTCAGTCTTTCCCAGAGGCCTTGTCTCCTGACAGAGGAACCCAGCCCATCAAGCAACATAGGTAAGCAAATGTCTGTCTGATGGGAGATTTGGCAAGGTGGCGAGGGGTGTCATTGAACTGGTGATATGTGTGCAGGATTATCATGCACTGTGACAAGGAGAGATGCTGAATGCTATGGTATCAACAGAACCTCAGCCAATTCATTAAGCAGATGTCCAAGCATTTTCTTAGCTGTAGATATAAAAGGCAATAACAATGCTCACCAACTTTATCTGCATTTTGTGAAAGTACTAGAGGAAGCATTTAAAGACACCATGCAATCTGTAGAGACAGACCAGTGAATGAAACAACTGTAGTTTGAGAAACCATTAACAAGACTTTTCTTATTGATGTTCATGAAGTTAATGACTCATTTGCTGCAGCAAGACATGGTTACAAACTTCCAGCCTTTCTCACTCTTCAAACAAATAATACTTGAAATGAATAATGACTTAATTATGAACACATGGTGGCCTTTGAAAACTAGTCTTTAAAATGTTTGGATGGTTGTTTCCAAGAGGAAAAAACAGAGGAAAGTCACCCATCACTGGATGGCATTTGAATTACAATTCTGCTTATAGCATTTTTGGATGAAAAAGAGTGCAGATGCTTCATTACGGGACTAGAAACCAAACTCATGTCTGGTATAAGCAATAGTCTTGGGGAATGGCACTAGTAACATCTAGTCCAGAACACACAGAAAGAGAAAAAAGGCTGAGAAAAATGAGTTCAGAATTTTTTTAGCTAGATAATCTAGAGGGGAAGACTGATCTTTTAAAAGGATAATTTTTTAAAATTACTAAGAAGTCTGGGATTGCATGAGGTTATAATCTAGATTCTGTAGTATTTGGTGCATTTTCATTGCAGTCCCCCAATCAGCTACATGTTCCTTCTGTTTTGAACGAATGATTTGCTTAACCTACCAAAGTGCAGCATATGAGCCAGGAAGGGATAGCGGGGTCCTACCTACTTTTACCTTACTTAAGCTTTTAATTTGGCACGAAATAGTAATGGCAACTGTCATGTCAGATCCATTTCTTAGGGCTTATTCCTTATTACACAGAGATTTTCAAAATATGCTTAACAATTTTACTGAACATAGATGAACTCTGGGACTGTTGCCTAGAATGCTTTCCATGGAAGTTCTGGGGAGAATTTCATCTCCATTTAGTCAAAAGGTGAAATTCAGGAAAAACACAATGACATTTCCTTACCTTTAATAACATGATTGCAGTACCTAAGTTTGAAATATTTTAGGTGTTGTACCATGATATTAGCTAAGCTTCAAAATGTGGAAATAAAGACTGAAAATATTTCTTCTATTTATGAACGTCACTTAAAATAAAAGCTGAATGACACTTTAGATTCCCTGTTTTCCATAGGGAAATTACAGAATAAGCCACACTGAATTTACTTTGAAGTAATGCAGAATCCCAGATTGCTCATTTTAACACCTTTGCACACTCTCTCCCAAACAAAGCAAAACAAATCAAAACCCAAACAACCCAACAGTATTTGCAGGTGTCAAGCACAGGACTATCTTAAGAGTGTTTGCTTCAGAACTGTTTTATGCGGAATGACTAGCTTACTTTATAAAGAAACTTTTTGTAGTTTTATAACAAGATTTATTATACAAGGCCTTTGCTTTATAAAACATCCAGCAGACTTGAACTGTCTTATAAGACTTGTAAGGCTGTCTTTAATTTATGTACCATGGGATGATTTCCTAACGTATTCAGTTTTTTAGTTCCTAATAGTGTTCTATGTGGTCAAATATGGCCAAATGAGGAAACTTCTTTTTTTACTGGAATACATTTTGTCCTAAACATCCCTTCATTCCATCCCAAACGTGTTGTAAGCCTGGGAAAAGTACAGCAGCTCTTCTGGTTCTCTGTTTTATGCTGTTCTTAAACTATATTATTGTTTTCTTTCTGCTTGCTGTGGAAATGTTTTGTTCCACATCCAGACCTGTTTTCTCTGCTGGTGGTTTCAAGGGCGCTAATGGTGGGTGATAATTTCTTAAAAATCAGGAGCTGTCTGTTTCCAGATCCTAAAACCAATACAATTTTGGCCTGGCAGTAAGACTATCAAGGTGGGGAATCATTTAGGATTGCTGAAATTTGACTGACAGAGATCACCTAGCTATTTCACTCAGATTACTAGATAATAGCAATTTTCTGTCTCTGCCAACAGCAGCTGCATGCAAAGAGTTACTGCAGAGATTAAATTGAAAATTTGAATCTTCACCAAATTTATTCCTAAAGTATTTCGCCTGTATTATGCACTGTTATTATGGTAGAAGAATTTTACATCATCTGCTTGCATATGTAAAACAACTCAGTGCTGTCAGAACTGGAAAGTAACAAATGTGTTTAATCAGTAAACTTCCTCTAAAGTACACAATGCGCTCAAAATTTCATCTCAGATTATCTGTTGATTTTAGTAGGAAGAAAAGCTATACTGTCTTAATTTCTAACAGATAGAAACAAATTAGAGTTTTGTTAATTATGGGATTGAGTTGTGATCCCTTTGAATAGCAGTTTTCTTGGTAATTAGTCATCCTGACTTTCACTCATTGATTCAGTCATCATTGATTTTAGAGGGATTAATTTCAGAGAATACCATGATGAAAGCCAAATGCAGAGGCTTTCAGCCTAGAGCAGTTTTATTGTCTTACAAAAATGCCAGAATAGGATAAACTTCCTCTAAAATTTATAATAATTTGTGTTTGCATTTTTAATGAACTTTTAACACCATGACAACCACAGTAAAAACAATTTTTTTTTGTTTAGTGTTTTACTCTTTATGCTCCCAGTGTAGTTGATTCATTTCAAATTAAAAGAAAGAGTAAATTGAAGTTATTCTGTAAATAAGGCTATTGAATTTCAAAGAACAAGTATTGATAAACTAAAGCAACTAAGAATGTAAAGGCACAGGAAGTCTGAAAGGGAGAAAATATAAGGAATCTGATATTTTCCCAAGGAAAGAGCATACTTTTTTGGAGAAATTTACTAAAACTAATGCCTAAAAGGAATGATATGTAGGGAAGGAAACAGACTATATCACAGAGGGTAAGAAGTCATGCTTGAAGTGAACACTTTCAGGAATCATCAAGAGTTAAGTATTACTGGTAATACTGAAAGCAATCAATTGTTTTTGTTGCATAAAGGAGTACTATGCAGGTGGAAGCAAAGCTGATAGTGGGACAGAGATAATATATGAAGCAGCTAGGACAATCCTGAATGAATATATTCCGGTTTTCAGTTAGGATGATTGTTTGAGGACAAAGGTAGGATAGGAATAGAATCAAATGTATGAAAATAGACATTACTACAATCAAAGTGGAAGTAAAATGCAGAAATCAAAGCTCTTAAATCAAGATGGTCTGGTTAATATTGATCAAAGAAGTCTGGAAGGAGAACTGGCTCATGAAATTTCAAGTCTGGTAGCAAAATCAATCAAAATGGGAGCTGTGCCATGTGGTGATGGAATAGCAAATGTCAAATATTTAGGAAGAGGAAAAAATAATTGAAGTAACTGAAGACCTATTATGTTGAATTAGACTAGTCAAGGCTTTAGGACAAATGGGGAAGCAGATTCTTTGCACAGATATTAAAAAGGCTAAAAATTGTCATGAGGTTTACCAGCAGCAGTTCCTGCAGTGCTACACTGATGATTTTCTTTGTATTTGGTGTAGGTGAGCTAGATGTCTATACAGACTCAGTCAATGTTTGCTGTCACTTATGTCTAATGCCTTTAAAGGGGGAAAGTAGGGAATGGCAGAAAAACTATAATGCAGATACACAGAGGTGGTTAAAAGGGAGACAGTAAGGGATTACATTGAGAAGGTAAGTGCGGGGTTGAAGACATTCACCAGTGGAGCACTAATGGAGTTCTCAAAGAATTAGTAAATGTTGGGGACAAATTTTGTTTAGTGCTTTTGTACATAACTTTGGCACAAAAGAGTTGGAACATACTGAAAAAAATTAGTTAAACTATAGACTCGGTACAGATAAGGTTCTTAGATATAAATAATTAATTTAATAACTTTAGAAAGTGGCATAGCAGAGGTGGATTGAAGCTCGGCAGTACTAAATACAAGGTCAGGCATCTGGAAACTAGTAACAAAATTTAAGAAACAAATGAGGAAGAAAAGTTTCAGTATATACTACTTGGTTAAAAGATAGCCAAGTCACAGAATGATGCAGTTGTGCAAAAGATAAATCGGATAGGAGGAAATATTAATCAAGACATTTCCATCAGAATGTCAGAAACATTAAAACCAACTCATGAGACTGTTGTCAATTCATTTGAATACAGCATGAGAATACACCATTATCTCATCCGGTTAAAATGGCCTCCTGATTACTGTGGACTCAAATTGCATTCATGAACTAATATGAAGAATGAATAATCTGTGTTCTACAAAAAGTGTTAGAGAGTCTGTCTTGGAAGACTGAAAAGAGTATATGACTGCTGCTTATAAATACATCGAAAGCTGATGAAAGAAATGAGAAGTAAAATACCTATTTAAAATGGAGGAGTATGGTGGCACATATCATTGTAGTTTTAGGATGGAGGTTGATCATTGCACTACAGGGAGTATATGAAGAAGTTATGGCAGATGATGTACCTTTGAATGCTCTGTTCCCTTTTCCTATTGTATGTATCTCTCTGGTGGAACCAGGATGGTGATCAGATGATATAGATAGTATTGAAGGATTTATGTGGAGTTGCAAAGTCCCTGATCAGCCCTGCCACATTCTATTCCTGAATACATGAATATATAATGGAAGCAATAATGCTCCTCTTTCAGAGGAAATCAAGAGTAGATTTGTAGGTATAGGCTGGAAAGCTTCTCCTACATATGCAGAGGGAGAAGAGAGTTTTGCAGGCAGCGGGCTACAGTCCCACTCCATCACCTGGGCTGAGAACCTAACCAGCTGTAACAGTTCATAAACACAAGCTAGGAAATACAGGTCATTGTGCCATTGTAGATGAGATGTTTTCCTAGACAGTAGTCATGTACTGAGACAGTACATGGTTACTGTGCAAAGGCATGGGAAAGAGCGGTGTTTGAATGCTTGGGATGAAGGACACTATAGAGGAAAAGGGACAAAACCATTGTCCAGTTTTCTTATGCCACAGCTTTTTTGGCGTAATAATCTCCTTACAGTCTTAGTATACTCTTATTCACATACGGCTTTGTTGAAGTCCCAGACATTATGTTAACTTTCTCCTTCTGGGGAGCTGTCTGTAACACAGGCTCCAACAGACGTGCTCATTGTGTGTCATCTCATTCTTGTAAACAGTCTGACAAAAGGGCTTTGTGATACAGCATTATTATGGTTGCATGGTATTCACTGAGAGATGCTTATGTTCTCCAGTATAACAGATCTTTTTATTAAAACTGAAAATTGGTTGAAAGTCTGAATAGGTGATCTGTACAAATGTTAGCAGTAGGTTGTCTAACTTAGCCTAAAAATGTGGCTCCTAGGGAATATCTGAAGACACTGTCCACCTGGCAGCTAGATCTGTCATTGGGGTATGTATTTACTGTTTCTGTCTTGCAAGGACAAAAAACATGTCTTCAGCACTAACGTGTGCATCTTGTGATCAGTAGGTAATATATTATGGAATGTAATATACCTCTCTATAGTTTTTGCAGGTACAGAGCTGGAGTATTTACAATCAGTTTTAGAACTATCCTTCTTCCTTCAGCTTTACATCTTTCTTTTCATGAATTACAATCACAGAAAAAGGGCAAAGAATAAGTAAGATAGATATACACAAAACCATGCTTATAAGCACTATTTCTGTAGCTCCATTGTGCTTATTAAACAAGAAGGGAAGGATTGGGATCTCATCTAAAGTTTTAACACTTTGTCATCCTCTTGTTAATGCTTTTCATGTTCCTGTTGACAGAGTGACTTCTGAACGTGTTCATAATGTGATGTATAATAAATTTTCTTTAGTAATTAACTAAAAAGTAATACAGGAGGATTCCCAGAGTTACTGTAAATTCACTGCAAGTCTTCTCTTCAGGAACAGAGTTAACTGCAATTGGGAGTTGTGTATGTGCCTTGAGAAGAGAATACTCCTCCTGCTGAGACAGACTGTTTTTACTTGGTTGCTCAACCTAAAGAAAATTTTCACACAAAACAATTTGCAACAATAAATCCCAAGTTCTTAATTAACTTTAGAGATGGTTGAACTATTTTTTTCAAACCATTAATTCGTCAGAACTGTATTTCTCCCTAGTTTATGTATAACTTGTGAACCAGTTCAAGCATATTCTCATTTTTGTTATTTTGGAGTAATTGATTAATAGATTTTAAAGACATATCTACTGCAGCTTTTCTTACTGATCTGTGTTATTGAACAGCTCAGTTATGTTGGCTGGTTCCTTTTACCCAGTTAGACTGGAGTACAGGGAGGAAGAAACCATAATGGTGGCTAAATGAGGATAAATTTCCTGAAGAAATCCAAAAGGCATTGTTTGCCTCAGAGAGACACTTCACATAAGCAATAGAGCAGAAGCCTGAGAGGGACTGTGTTAACATTTTTGGTGGAAGAGTATGCCAACGTTTTGTGAAAAAGAAAAAACTTTATTATGCTGGAGTTACTTTTTCATAGAACTTTTAACAAAAACTGTCACTATCTTGTCTTTGGTGCTTCAAGAAATGAGTGTTATCCTGGATCTTGCAGCTGCACTTCCTGTAAATATTTCCTGGCCCTTCTTAGTGAATTTGCCTTGTCCCTGACCACACATGATTTTTGTTCATTTTCACCTCCCATTTTTTCTGTCAAAATGTTGAAAAAATAAGAACCTTGCATTAGCCGCAAATGGGTTGCTTAAGCTCTGTTGGTGCCGGAGCTGCTGTGATGGCAGGATGATGTTGGCATGTCCCATATCCCTTCAGTCTAACCAGGCCACGCATCTTTAGCAGCCTGGAGGAGCCTAGTGTTTGATGCAGTAATGAGAGTTTCTGTGCAAGCTAAAGGAAGTCCAGATAGATCATTTATATGCATCTTTGCTGCAGTTTATACCAATTATCTCAGGTATACCTGTATGTGTTGGTTGCAATTGTCTATTACAAATGCGGAGCTTTTTCAAATTTGCACATGCATGTTATTAGATGGGAGACCATGTGTTCTCATCCAACAAGCAAGATGTGCAAGTGCATCAAACCAACCACAATTAAACAATGCCTTTCTAGTTCCAAATATTTTTAATCATTCTAAAATCTGCTAAGTTAATGAGTTTGTTGACTTTTGCAGTACATTGATGAATGTACTGCAATCAATAAAATACCCTGAAATTCATTATCCATCACAAATTATTCATTCCCTGCATCTTTTAAGATCCCCTGCAGTAATAATCTCAAGTCTCTCCTGAGCAGAAATTGTCAATTGCTTTGTGATGTGGTAGTCTTATTTTACAGAGTATGAACTGTAACTCACAACTTGAACTCGGCTTTCAGAATTGAAAGGCCAGTACTTCAGGTTTTTTAAAAAGTTTTTTCACAACCTCCTTAATAGCTAAGGAAAAATCTATTTAAGGAAGCATCAAAAATCCTTGAGGGAGTGCTATTGCTACAGGTTATTGAACTTTACAATTAAAAAGCACCAGGAAAGAAAAAGTACGGAAGAGAACAGAGCAGAGACTGTGATGGAACACTGCTAGCCTGAGCAGTAGGATAGAGGCTGTTGAATGTTCTTATGTTTTGACTCTGGAGAAAAAAGGTTGGTTTTAATGGAAATGTACACTACAAGAGAATTTGTCCAAGATACTTGGTCCAAGCAAGAATTGCTTTGGGAGTAGATATGGCCCTAACTATAAATAAAGTTTCCACTAGGTATTAAATGCAGATTGCTTTTAAGTCATGTTATAATAGGAAAAGGGAAGCAAACTTATCAAAAGTCTTTTGCATAACTGAATTGTATCAGAAGTTGAAATTATTCACATAAGCAAAAATAATGACTCTCAAAATGCGTCTACAAAACCTATATTAAAATATCATTAAGGATGTGAAGGAATATTAGGTAATACATATGCATTTCTGACACCCAGGAGATGTCAAGAGAAATAGGAGTAGCTGGAAAGTAAATAGCCAGTCATGCTGCTCAGTACCATGACCTGTTACAGTAGAAATAGGTTATGTCTTGCCTTAATTCTCTATTCCCTTATTTTTGCATTAGCAATGGCTGAATTTATGGCTAATATACCAAAACCATGGATTCTAGATAACTTTTAATTCCTGCATGAAATGGAAAAAATCCATTCTCCTTCCAAAACACTACAAAAAATGTTTACAAAAGCAATTTTCTAAAATAAGTAGAAAACTATTACTTGTTTTTACCATAATCAAGTTTGTATTATATCACATAAAGAAACAACATGGTATTTATCAATGTATATAAACAAGAAAACAATCTCTATATAAAACAAGAGTAAATCAATATAGAAAAGAAATCTGATTCAGCATGGAGAAAACTGGTGTCATAGATGGCTTCTTCACACTGCAGTTCATAAGCTTCACTTATATTCTTTACATTTTTTTTCCCAATTTAATGTTGTTGTATTAGGAAGAAGCACCTTGTAGGCTGATGGATGATATAATGGGCTCTCAATTTAAGATCTGATTCTGAGCTAAGCTGTAGGTATGATGCAGCTGTGCCGATATTTATACTGTCTGAAGAGTCAACTCTATATAGCAGGATTATGGTATGCAGCATGGAAAAAAAGAAGCATCCTTCATCAAGTGCAAGAAAACGTTTGATATACCAGGCAATTGTTTTCATTCCTAGAAGAGAGGTGATGTATTAAATATGGCATAAACAGCAGCTAACTGTGGATTATAGTATTGTATTTCCATATAGAATTTCTACTGACATGATAGACCACCACAGCAAAGTTTATAAAGACAGTAATCCATGCGTTATTAATCCTGAGTCTTTACTTTGCAGAAATTTATGCTTTTGCTGTGATAATTTTTACTGTACTCTTGGTGTTGTTCCTAGAAGTCTCTCTTCATGCTGCAGCCCAGGACAAAAAAGTGGGATGCTACATAGAAATGCCTTTCGGAGGACTCCTCCCTTACCTCGGGGCAGGTTCAATGGAATTACAGGACCAGCATATCAACAGCTAGAAGAGTCAAGGATCACAGACCAGGACACAGTACCTTGTCACAGGTAAGTAATAACATAACTGAAGTGAGGCAATTTGTGAGTGGCTGCTGTTACGTGGTTAATATGCTTTGCCATTACAGTCCTTCCAACTTTGTTGTAGTGTACTGTGGATCCAGGGTTTATAGTACTGAAAGGAGAAGAATGTTTCAAGCGTACTGGCTCTTTGAAGGTAATACGTTTTTATTTGGCTGGATGCTCTTTTTAAGCCTTTCACAGGCTGTAGAAGGAGTGATTAGAACAAATTGTAAGTGATTGGCAACTTTGCTCTTTATAACTGATGCTTTTTCTAGCAGTGCTGTGATGTTCTAGTAACTTTTGCATATCATTTTTTTTCTTCAATCAGCACTGGACAAATAAGAAAATAATTCAGAAGTCCGACTTTCTTTTTTTTTTTTTTTTAAATAAATCAATGTATGCTGTGAAGTGTTTGCTGTAGACTGAAGACTGATCGCTTCACATAAGTTTCTCTTTGAAAATGCACAAAGAATCCAATATTTTTCCTTTTTTAATTCAGCTCGTTAGAATATTGAATGTGAGCTCCAGCTGTACATAAGGTCTGAATTTCAGAAGTGCTTCTGAGCACCTACAGCTGCCTTTGAAGTCTTTTGCAATTGCTGAGGTATTTTGCATAATATTTACATATCCCTGTGGATTTCCAAAAACTTTCCAGAATGACTACAAACACATTATATATAAAATGAGGAGTGACATCTGGAATGGAATAAAACAGCAGCAGTTTCATTTGGACATGTATAAGTCCCAGCTAAGTTCAGCAAATTGAACAGTTACAGTGTGAGAAGGCAGCTGTACGTTTTTTGTATTGGAACTGGGTTTATGAAGCGCAGCACTGAGGTCACCTACATGTTTAATTTTCCTCAGGGAAGAAAGGAGCTACTCTCACTACCCACTCTGACCTCCTGGGAACTGACAGCCGCAAGCGCTGACCAAGAATAAGCGTCGTTACACGTGTGTTGTTGCACGTGTGGGCACCTGTGCAGGCACACATTCCCCCTGCGTCTCCCTTGCCACGCTTTCCAACCTGCAGCAGGGTTGCCCAGTCTGGGGTATTCTGTGAGAGGGGGACTTGGCTTACTAAATTTTTTGTAGCTCAATCTACCTCACAAAGTTGGCCACAGTAATTAGGAAAGACAGACCAAGAACAGGGCTTTACCTATGAAAGGAGAAAGCAAAGCAGCAAAAGGTTTGAGTGTCTGGTGACTTCCTTTAAAAAGTTCACATTTGTCTCATACTTCTTTCATTATTACTATTGGCTTCTTCTAAGGAGAAACTTGTTTATTACTTCTTTCAGTAAATACATTATTGTTCATTTTTATGATAAGGTGTGTATAATTCCTTATGAAAATTGTGACTCTGAATGCAACCCTTCCTGAAAGGGACAGGCCAACAGCCTTCCCTCTTCACCGGCAGCGTCTTATAACACAGGCTCTGGAGAGTGCTGCAGCCTCTTCCTGAGAAGTGAGGTAGAAAACAGCAAAGCTGTCTCAGGGGTAGTTGTTTTTTAATCTTCTTTGGGAAACTGGTGTGTGATATTACAAGTATCATCTTGTACTGGCCTCTATTTCAAATTTGCAGTTCTGCAAAAGGTTGATATTTGGATCAGACTGTGACCCCTTCCGGCTTCAATCCACTAAAGTACTTCAACGACATTTTGTGAGCTAGTGATGTCTGTAGATTGAAACCTTCCTACTACCAACTCTAACAATGAGACCTTTCTGTGAAGGAGTCCTCCAAGTCCATCAACAGGTGGTGTTGTGACATGGAGTCACAGCAGTCTCTGTATATCACAAATACGATACCAAAAGTCTTCAACCTACTACCCATGGAAATTAATTCACCCCTATAGCCCCCTCCCCTGCTACCAAAAAACCCCACCACTCACTCAAACCCAGGACATTAAAACATCAATGTTAGGCATGAAAACAAAAGCAATTTTTTATTTTATTTTATTACAATGTTTTACTGGTGATGGTTTTCATGAAAATAGTCTTTTAAGACTGGAACAAAACTTTTTACAAGTTGTTTTGTGTTACAGCTGAAGTAATCTATTCAAACAAAATGTAAATATGCATCTTATCTCTGAACAAAGGTAAAAACTTATTCACTAATTCTACTTTATGTGGAATTCTAACTTAGGAAGAGGTTTTCCCAAAATCAAATGGCTTTTTGCCATCTATATATTTGCTAGTTTTCATAGTGTTGGTATTCTCATTAGACTTTCAGCCCAAATTAAAAGTTCCCTTTTCCCCTGCAGAAGTGAAACTACTTACTTTCTTCTCGCTTTTCACCTCCATCTTTCCCTATAGGGATGTACAAATCAAAGTGGTTTGTCTCCCTAATTCTGTTAGCCTTCCAAAGTCCATCCATCAGCAGCTCTGCCTGAAGTTTAGTCAAATTTTGTATGTTCATATTTGATAGAAAAGAGGCAAATTTTCCTGATTAGTTTTCCTTCTAGTCCTGTAAAAAGTGCTTCTCTTCCCATCCCACCTTGAGAGGAAGGGTTTTGCTACCTTCAGGAAGTGCCAGATCTCATTATTTGCAGCAGGATCTAAAATTTGCAGAGTTTGAGTCAAATACAGCTAATATCAGTTATTTAATCAGTATGCTACTTGAAGGTGTAGAAAAACCTGCTTGAAATGAGTGGCTTAAAGAAAACAAACCATCTCCATGCCAGTAATATCTCAGAGGCCGATTCAAGTCTCTCAGGGTGTCAGGAGTTTACATGCAGCTAAATAGGCAGTGGTTTGATTGCGTGTTTTCAGTGACAGCTGTTTGAGTTACACGGTATGAAGTGTTAGAAGTGGTGCTCTGTAGCCTGTGAATGTGTACATATACAGATCCCGATGTGTTTATGTATACAAGACCAAATGCGTGGTGTCTACAGGTACAAAATGGGGTGTGTACATATAGGTATATGTGCTTACAAGGCTGAACCAAAGCCTGGTAATGCCACTGGAATGGCTCCCATTCGTCTTAATGGACCTTGTTGTCAGGCTTGTATACTGAACAGCTATAGCAGTAGGGCTTATAGCAAAGCTATTGGTAGTATGCTAAATAGAAAACATTCTGTATTTTAAGCTCCAATCCCTCCTGTCTCTTTTTAATATCTGTTTTAAGGGGGCAGTAAAATTATTATGCTTCTTTCAGTTTCATTCTTTGTTTTAGACTCTTAAACACTGTATAACATAATTACGGTTGCATATTTATAAATGTTTGAGTTTCTTTTTTTCTTGGTTTTAGGAAGAGGGTGGAGAGAGAGCTGCACTTTGAAATACATGCACATGAATGAAATTATTCAGACAAACTAATTTTTCAGATAAAAAAACAGATATCTTTTGTAGGAGGAACTATAATTCTGGGAAAGTTAATTAGAGGAAAATGTAATTAAGATTCTGCAATTATAGTTCTAAGTCTCATCTATTGAGACGACCAGCAGTCTGTTGTCACAAGTAGTAGCATGGATCACTTTGTAATTAACCAAAAGCTGAGTCTCACATGGTTTAGATGTAATATCCCTCCTCATTTAATACCTTGCCTGTTGCACACAGTGTATGTGCTTTAATTCAACACTGGTTCTCCTTTGAAAGCCCTGTGAGCACAGGGCAGAAACACGTAATTCTGACGTAAAATTTCTGTGTCTATCTGTGCTTCAAAAAATATAATGGAAATATGCCAGACATTGCATTACATGTTATTGTTGCTGCCGATTAGTTTTCAAAATACCAAGAATAATTGCATCTCTTATGGAATTGGCAAATGCTACTGTTTTATCACCAAATCCATTTTAATTCAGTCTTTTCTTGGGTTTGCTTATATATCATCCATAAAGTGCATCCATTGCATGTGAAATTCATTAAAAACATTCACTCCCTTTGTTTTCAGGGTGCAGCCCAGAATATATTTAGGGCCTGAATTACCAAAAAAGGGAATAATGCAACTGATGCGATCTCTCCAGCTATAGTCGTTTGAGCAAATATATTATAAACAAAGGAAACAAGAATTGGCACAACCCAAAGGTCTGCACTGTTTTGTTTTCATCTATTTTTTTTTTTTAATTGTCCTCCCTCGGGAATAATATCCCTGATCAGTATTTCGTTCATACTGATCATTGAAAGCTGTTCTATAAAGGCCCTCCATAAATGGCCACAGGTGTGTCTAAGCATAGCACAAATGTAATTAACCAAAATCTGAGTCTCAGCTGGCTCAGGTGTAAAACATAAGTGCTGCTGTATAGCATATACAAGAAGTTGTAGCACGTATCCAAAAAAGCCACTTGCTGTATTATTCCCCTGGGTTCCACTTTCCAAAGCAGTATCTCTTCCCATCAGATAGCAGCAAAGATCACCACACCTCCTCCTTACTGCAGAGCTCCCAGCTGTCTTTTCTGCTCTTTTGGGGAAGCCTGGAGAGTTTTCATACAGGGGCTGCACAAAACTGCATGCGTGCACATGTACAGGTTAATGTGTCAAGCAGTTGTACAAACACAGTGCCACCACAGACGAGTTAATTACAAGTCAGCACCACTCTGCTGGAAATGAGCCTAAAGATATCTCCTCCTCTCTCTCCTGTCTGACAGCTCGCCAGGAGGATGGGGCCAAAGGAAGCCTTTCCAGTTAATTAGCATTGTGCACTAATATTGGACTATGGCTGTTTCCTGAAATTCACTTTCTTTTCCTTCGTTCTCTTTCTGCTAATGCCAAAAAGCAGCAAGGCATGTATGAGTACAAGGATATCCCTAGTGAACTCCCGCAGGCTTAAAGCAACTTTCAGAAAAATACCCTTCAAGTCAGAGCTCAAGCACCTGCTTCCACACCAGATCTGAATGTTGCTTTCCTCATCCATGGATCAAACATATTAGACTTCATCATTAGCTTGCTCTATTAAATAGTGATATGATCACAAAGCTGATTATAAATAAAATATGCTCCGGTACTGAGGTGATATCTGTGGTCCTTGGCAATCATGATCGGATATAGTAACTCTTAGAGCACAAAGTTTCTAGTAATACTATTTCTCTGATGGGAAACATCTTTTTTGTTGGTGTCATTATTTATTTTATATTTAGCATACTTTCCATTTCTGTTTTTTAAGTATTTCCTGTAAATGAAAACGCTTTCTGATCAGAACAATGAATTTGGCTTTGAAACAAAATGGAAATCTTGATAAAAATTCACCAAAGTTGCCTCACAATAAATAAAATCATGCTATGATATGTATTAATGGAGGATAAAGGATTTTTTTTTTTTTTTTAATTCTGGATAGAAATATCAGGAAGACGCAAACATTTGCTCAATCCCAATACATTAGCTATATTTCCAGATGAGATCTGAGAAAACAAATCGGGCCAATATTTTGAGTATGGATGGGCTATTGAAAAAAAGACATATTTTTCAGAGGTACACTGCACTTAGATGCTCTTCTTGTTTGAAGAGGAGCACAGACAATCATTTCTATGTAAATAAAGACTACACAACCATGTTTTGTGTAAAGTTGTTTTTTTTTCCTGCACCTTTTTTAAGATTTATCCTAAAATAGCCATTTAACATTGAGAGTTCTGATGTTGAAGAAAACATCAATCCATTTCTCCAGTTAGGAATGTGAGAATGGATTTTCAAATCTAATTTCAAAGAAAATTAATAGTACAGTATAACTCCTGAAATCTTTTTAAAATTAATTATCATTATTCTCATATACTGGTGGGCAAACTGAGACTGAGAAAAAAGCAGTGGTTTTCCAGCAGCAGATCTGAGAATCAAACCCATGTCTCCAGAGTGTTGTTTTCCCTAGGGCCACACTATTATCAAATGCTCCCTGTGTGAGGGAAAACAACATGGATCTTTTCAGCACAGTTCACTGAACGTCATATAGCGTTCCTGCTGCTGCTTGCATCTGACTGCTCGATGTACAACAACAACTTCTTTTTACTCTTTCCAGGTATTCATCCAGTGGTTTAAAAACTACTCAGAATACTTCAATAAATATGCAACTGCCTTCAAGAGAGACAACCCCTTATTTTAATAACGTGGATCAGAAGGACTTGGTCAGCTATTCATCTTCAAGGGCCAACTCCGTTCCCATCATCCCGTCTGTGGGCTTGGATGAAGCCTGCATGCAAATGCAAAATGTTTCTGAAGTAACAGGCATCAAATGGTGCAAAAACTCCTATTCAGCTGAACTTGTCAATGTGAGTTCCCCAGTCAGTAATTGTCTTATAGCAGAACAACACGAAGTGAAAATATTGCTAGAAACTGTGCAGGAGCAGATTCGGATTCTGACGGACGCGAGGCGGTCGGAGGACTATGAACTGGCGAGTGTAGAAGCGGAGAGCAGCGCGAGCGAAAACACAGCCTTTCTGCCCATGAGCCCCATGGCCAAGTCAGAGCGAGAGGCGCAATTTGTCTTAAAAAGCGAAACGCAAAGAGACTCGGTATTGACCAAGTGACTTTGTGTGGGGGTTGTGGGAGGGGAAGCAAGAGATCTGTGCATTCGATGCTTTGCTAAACAGGAAGGGAGGAAATTAAATACAAATTATTTATATGCATTAATTTAAGAGCATCTACTTAGAAGAAACCAAATAGTCAATCGCCCTCATATCATAGTGTTTTTTAACAAAATATTTTTTTAAGGGAAAAGTTCCAGGATGGATGAAACGTACATCAGGTGCTTTCTAGGCAGGATTACACATACAGTTTCAGTTACAGAGCATTTACCATGGTCCTGTTCGGCTGTCTGAAGGCTCAGGCTATGCATCTTTTTTTCAGTAAAGGCCAAGACCATTCTTAGATCCATTTCTGGTTTCAGGGCAGCGCTGCAGTAAGCTGCTGACCAGGGAATCAGACCCTGGGGAGTAAGTCCCATGACGCCATCACAGACCCGGTCCCCTCTCCACCTCTCCTCTTGGTTCCAGGTTCATACCATGGAAACAGGCACACAGACATCTGCTTCTGAGGTCTGGTACCTGCTGTGGAATGACAATAAATCCCTAAATTGAGCCAGATTCTTAACTCTCAACTTAAAGGTTCCAGTCACCTCAGGAAAGTCAATGGAAACGTTTAGGAGTTTTGGGTTTGGCCAAGTGTGGAGTGGGATTGGGGTCTGTAGAGGTGCAGTGGTCAGGAACCCACGGCTGCTCCATCTTCTGAGCTTTTCCCATCAGAGCTGCCTTGCTAGAGAGTGAGGAAGAACAAGAGAAAGTACACAGGTTTGGTTTTGGTTTTTGGTTTGAATTTTTTTAAGTGGGAACATAAACTCTGTTGTTCGTTACCAACCCCTCAACATCTCTGAACTGTTATACTTTGAAGGCATTTGTAAGCTCTCAAGGAGCACTTATGAGTGTGTGTGCATTTCTTTTAACTTATTTTTGATTATGGGTTGTTCAGAGAAGGGTCAGGGAGATCCCATATGATCAAAATGCAGCCGATGTGTCCACACTGCCCTAATTTGTTCCCACCTTCAGTTCTCAAGTCACTTTAATTAATTGTGGCTTAGGCTTGTGAACTTTAAAGCTTCAACCCTGCAGATGGTTCAGTATGGGCAGACCCACAAGCACGCACCGATCTGATTCTAATGGGGCTATATAAGAGCAGATGGTTTCCACCAAATCACTCCCTGTAGGGGATCAAGGCCTTAGAGAAGAAATGTCATTTCCTGGTTGCCGTATCCCAGTCACATTATAAACAATTTTTGCATTTGCTTTCGAGTCCCTCTTTGCCCAATAAATTGTAACACAATATGCCAATAATGCAATTAATTGGGTTCAGTGACACACACATTACGGGTTTTATTAGTATTAAAATATCTGCTTATTCATGGGGAAAAAGAAAATCAACTATAATAAATAATTGCTAAATAGCCTTCCCTGGTTAATGCCAGAAGATTGATTTTTAAAAAATTTACAGTATATAAGGAATGTATTAAAATTTTCCTTTGCAGCAAATTAATTGTTAAATTTATTAATGTGCCCCAGACTTTCCAGTTCACAAGTCTCAAGACTTCCCAAAATAGCACAATCAATCACCTAGTGCTGTTGTATGTTGAGTCAGAATAAAGCAATATTTTAACCTCTGTCAAGTAAATTTGGAAAAGAAATGCTGAAGGTGTATGTCATTTTTTTTTGTTAAGGCAGTAAAAAATTACTATTCACGGTCTTCATTCAGCAAGTCTTATTTTGGGTTTCTTTTGCAGTTTTGGTTTGTTTTTTGTTTTTTGTTTTTTGTTCTTTTTTTTTTCCAAGATAAAGTTGATGAAATTGTCTTGTTTACAGAACTTTCTATGGCTGTAATCTTTGCTGTGTGTTTTCAATAAAAATATGTTTGAGGGCAAACTCTGCTTTATGCCCCAGGATGGAGCATGCCTCGTCCAGTCTCCCTTCTTCAGAGACACAGAGCTTTTGTTGTAGCAGTAAGGTGGGATCGCCGTGAGGAGTGCTCTCACCCTGACATGTTTCTGCAGTGTGTTGTGGCTGGGCACAGTCTCTCTGTGCATGATCTGAGCTGATCTGTGGTGGATATGGCCCCAAGCCCACACCACATAAACCCTCTGAAAGATGAGGTGTGTTAGGTGGGGGTCAGCTTTGCATCCTTACAGTCATGTGACTTTTTCTGTCAGCACCTTTTACATCCCATCAGCTCAGGATATGAGCAAAGTGAGCTTGCCTCTGCCCATAAGCCCTGTGGACATACCTGTAATATAAAAACTGGCTACTATATAAAACTCTGATTCAATAATTTATGAAGTGCAATCGCAATTCATTAATTTGTCACCATTAATTTTGTCAAGAGATGGTGTCTCTGCAATAAAGTGCAGAATACTCCCCAAATAGATGTTTCAAAATTAAATCTTTTCAATCCAAACGTAAGGCCTTCTTGCCCCCAAATCCTGCCAAACTCTGCAAATTCACCTTTGGCAAAGTATTGGAAACACACGGCAAGATTTCTGTTGAAGAAAGAACCATATCATAACCAATGCCTTTATGGAGAGAATGTGTTCACTCAGAACCCCTGAAAGACCCAGAAAGAGGGGAAGAGCGATGTATTTAAGAGAATGAAATGTTTGACTGAATGGCAGATGAAGATCTGAAATGGTGAGGATATCTTCAGTTCATGTTAGAGATGCGATCTTGTACTCAGCAAAGGATGTGTGACTGTTATATGTTAACTGTTCTATTCAGTTTTCAGCATGTTTGAATAGAGAGACGTTAATATTAACCATATGACAGACTAGTGTATTATTTGTTAAGAGTATCACTTCAGATCCTGTTGAAACTGTCATTGTTTGCAGAGGAAAAGAAAAAGGTTTGAAAACATGAAACTAGGTAGCCTTAATGTCATTTGTGTGTTTCTCTAATGGAAGTATTTTCCTCCATGGACCCTCCTATTTTACAGTGAATGGGACAACATTTTCTCTGAGGTCTGGCAATTAATTATGTAAAGGACACACAAGAAATTTGTACCTAAACAGCCGAAATGATAGGCCAAATTTTGCTTTACTTCTCACCCCTGTGGTCCCACTGAATTTCATGGATTGGAAGGGATGTGAGTCAGTGCAAAATGCAGTTCATTCCTAAAATTACATCTGTTCCCAGCCTTGGAAACAGACTGTAATTCCCCTAAAGGAGGCTCTGAACACAGTCATTTACCTGTAACATAAATAAAAATTATATCTGACCTACGAAGTTCCAAGTGTAGTCTGGTGTGAAATTTCACACAAGCAGCATTACATTCAAGTAAACTGGGAGAACAGCCAACTAAATAAATTGAACTTCTCTGAACTGAACAGAGAAAGCCTGTGTCTCTTCAGCATAATACCGTGGAGCCAAATTATGAGAGAGGTCTATATGCAGATTTTTTTTTCTTCGGCATAAAATGTATTCAAAACAATTAAAAATAGCCCTATAAAAACCCAGTAAAATGATCCCAGCATTTGAAATAGGAAACATGGGTGAGTATGGGCACTTTTCATAGTGTTAACTTTTGAAAAACTTTTCAGTACACCCTTGACCCAAAGCTGAAACATTCTAATTCTTACAGGGTCACATTTAGATCTACAAACACATCCATGGAAGAAGAGCTCTGCAGAATGTTTCTGGTATCTAGCCACCCAGCCACGCTCTCAGCTGATGTAGTCAATGCAGTAATGACAGTTTGTATCAATAGAGGATCACATCCCAGATCTCTTCTGTTTGATGTCCAATGTAGTGTCGCAAACCTTAGTAGCCTACCACATGATGTAAGGACTTCTACACTTATTTATGGAGCTACCTTCATTTTGCTTATGAAAATCTTATCAGTGTGTGAACACCCTCACTAGAATACAGTGCAAGGTTCGTTGGCTGAGTGATTGGTTTGTCAGGTGTATCTTTCACAAAGGCTGCGTATCACTGACCAGGATCTAACAGCAATGAATTTACCACCATGTGGCTAATCCCGATGTTACTCACCAAAATCCTACAGCTTCAGGTTTAAACTTTGAAAAAACAATGAGGTGACTGCATGTGCTTATGACCAGGCATGTGCTAGGGGACGCTCCTGAATTAAAATGTTCAATCAGATAATTCATGTCTGCTTCTTATGTAACTAGGGAGAAAATCTGTATTCTTCTTCGCAATCCATCCCCAGCTTCCTTTAGTCTAATTTTGCACATTACTTGAACATTTCTTACTCTTACAAGAAATTATGAAAATGAACACCAAAGAAGAACTCTTTCAGAGTCCTAGCTGCAGTAAATAAAATTAAAGCTTGAAGGAGCAGACCTAGAATAAAAACTGCCTTTGAAAATGGCATTAATGAAATGGAATTTCCCTATAAACTGTTTTTCACTTGGGAAAACAATAAGTTTACAAAGTCTTTTATCTTGGCATGAATTTAAAATGCTCATCTTCAAGCAGATTGAAAAATAGCAAATATTGAGTATTGATTTTTCAGCTTTTGAGATTTATTTATTTATTTTATTTTATATCAGTAGCCCAACAGGTCAATGATCTGTACTGTATTGTCTGACACATGGTCTTAAAGGTCATCTTTGTCCCTTTTTGTGGTCCAGATGCTGGACTGCTAGATTTCCTCAAAGATAATAAGATTTTATCTAGATTATATTTTTAAATGATTTCTAGCATAATATAGTTCTTCATCTTTGAAAATAATAATACAAACGTTTTTCTTTTCGTACTGCATTGCCACTGTAAGTTCATAGTGAGATTACACTCCCTTTGTTTTGATGTCTACTCACATGAAAACAACTGCAACGTGCAGTTTTCAGGTTTTAGACTTGGCACTTTCAAATCATAATGTAAAACCCATTTTTTATATTTTAAATAGAAAAATTCAAATATGACATATAAATTAAATAGCTGCAACAGCAGTAAACTTATTAATAAAGAGTTTTGGGGTTTTTTTCATTTTTATCATATAGCAATTAGAGGATGAGAATTGTGCCATATGAATCAGTAGTCTCTTGCAAGAAATACTGCCACAGGATATATTAATGGCAGTGGAAAGCCATCGCTGCAGCCCAGAACTGGGGAACACCACAACAGAGGAGAAAACAGTCATCCACAGTGTACGCTGCAAGGGGTGAAAGTGCTTTCATTTTAATAGTAAAAAAAAAATATAGTTGTTCATCTGTTGAAACTACCAAAAAGTTAAACTACCTGAATTTATTAATGACCATGTTGGTAGTATTTTTGAAAAGGAAAACGGGAAGAAATTCCCAAATTCTTAATGCTTGCACTGTCCCTTGGAACAAAGGTAATTATGTTTTGATTTTTTATTATTACAGCATGGTTTTCAATGTCTGCTACAGAGACAGAGTGATCACACGGCACTGACAGGCTGCGCTGATCCTTACTTTCTTGAAAAGATTTAGCAGTCTCCTCTTTGGTCAACAGTCTTGTAAACAAGGAGTGATTTCCTAGTATCCCAGAAGCCTATACTTGTGAAACTTTTCCCAGGTAAATAATAAATGAAAAATGCAGCAAGACAACCTTTTTTTTTTTTTTTTTTTTTTTTTTTTTTTTTTACTATGAGGAACTGTAATATTTTATAGCTATAATGAAGAAGGGTTTACTGATGACTGAAGAATGTAAATAAAGTATAGGATATAACATATGTAAGTGGCATGGAAATTCTGTATTTGTACTGTAGCTGTTAGTAATATATTCTCTAACACTGTCGGGAGGAGATCTACATGCAATTTATATTTCTTTTTTCCTTAACAGTGACCATGGTCTGTACCACATCACTATAGTGCCTGGGGATTGATGTACTCTCATCCTTATTCCTTGCTCTTGCATTGCAAGATCCACTTCTATGCTGTCCTGTGCCCACCCTGGTTTTGCTGAAATCACTGAATTTGCATCTTTATTCAAATTCAATTTTACCTTGCCCTCAGAATCAAGAGCACTGTGAGATTTCAGACCAGAAGCCTCTGACGTCTTTCGGAGTACTAAAGACCAGAAGTCATCTCAAGTGTCCTGAGATATAGCTTCAGATGTGACTTTTTGCCTCTTAATACTAAAATTTCTCCAAAGATTAAGACCTCTACATGTCTTGAATCAAATTATGTAATACAAATAATGCCATAGTTCAGAAAATGAAGAGTTATATGGCAAATATTATTGTCCTAGTGTGTGTCTTTCAAGGAATATGGAACAAGAGCTCTCGGTTGTGTAAGTATTTGGAAATTAAAAATACAAATAAAACAAGGATAGAAAAGAATACAAAGAATAACTAATATTCAGGCCATTTTATAAGTCATGCTAGTAATCTGTCTAAGACCTTTCTTTAAGGAATTCAGGCTTAGAGTTTCCTTTGCTTGACAATACATTAAGATTATGTTTCTTTCATAGCATAAAGCTTACTCCTGTAAAGAGCCAAGGCAAGTATCACATACCTCGGCATAAGCAGGGCAGAAATGCAGTATAGGTTTCACTTTGGCTTTCTCACTCAAGTTAGGCTCATATGTTTTAGATTACCTCTGATTTCTTCCATGAGAGAATAAATGAGTATTCCCCAAAAAGAAACGAGGCATGAATACTCGATGACTTTTTTTCAAAAATCTACTGATTGATACTAAGATTGGGGCCATCTACTGAACTTGAATGTTCTAGAAATAGCTGAGGTTTTGACTGTTCTTGGTTGGGAAAACAGCAGCTAGCATAAGTATTATCACCCCCACCACCTCAGCAAGATGCACACTGTGAACTTCTTCTGGAGAAGAGGGTAGAGAGCTTCTCCTTGCTGTGGCACAGCTTTTTCCGTGGGTGAGGAGGGATGGATTTTCAGTTGGGCCAGGTCACGTCATCCAAGAAACTTGCTTTACTTTTATTTCTTTCTCAGATCTCTCTCATCTCAGTGAGATTATGGTCATCAGCACTAGTTTATTTTTTAAGTTAGTGATTTCCAAATTCAGGGATTCTTTAAAGTGTTGAATTTTGGAAGTAGAGACTTCTCACAATAAAGGTAAAATTTCTTCTGTGATTTTTTTTAAACCATCTTTACTTGAAATGCTTATATTATGTTATCTATTTTTTAAAAAATTAGATGTTACAAATCTAAATTACAAATATTTATATTTACACCATGATAATCGGGCATGGATAAGACCTATGTTTCATGTTTCTCTCCTGATCTCATTGAAGATGTCCCTGCTTATTGAAGTGGGGTTGGACTACATGACCTTTAAAGGTCCCTTCCAACCCAAACCATTCTAACCATCATTTGAGAAGCGTGTTCAAGTTAGTTCTTTTATCTATCAGATCATCCATAAAATGCTGGAGATTTCTGTGCACATCAATGGCAACTTTGGGTTTTACATGGAAAGGTAAATAAAACTGATATATTTGCAAAGAAAAAATAGACTACATAAAATTTACAGGTCAGACTGTTGTTGTACAAGTGGCAACTGTTTCACTGAAAGCAGTTAATGCGAAGGGAATGAAGGTCCGAGAGGAAGAGGTTTATGGTGGCTCAGCAGTTGAGCTGAATGAGATAAAACCCAGATTTCCACCTCCTCAGTGCAAACCTGTGCTGCTGTCTAAAGCTGGCACGCCCCGAGCCCCAGGGTGTCTGCAGCCCCTCCACTAGCGACTGCACCAAAGGGCAGGTGTCAGCTCTGACTTCCGCGAAGGCTCCTCTCAGTAAATTGAAATGAAATAGTATGAACTAAAAATTGATGGGACTGACTCTCAGTTGCTGTCAGGTTATACAGAGTGCCAGCAACAGTGCTGATTTACAGCTTCTGAGGCTGTGGCTCATGGTTTGACCTGACCGGTTAGTTCCCACCACCTGAGCTGGAGCAATCCAAGCAGAAAT